GAGCTGGCACGAAAAGAGGCTGTGCTGCTCTCTCAGGAATAAACGGGGGAGGGCCCCAGGAGCACCCCTCCAGTAAGCCGACTCCAGGGAGTCCGGGGTGAGTCAGACTCGCAGGTGTAAGGGTGGGGTTCCATGGGAAGCACCCCTGACCTCCACAAAGGGGATGGTGCACGCAGAACCTGGCACTCCCTCAGCCTCCAGGACACGCAGGGATATCTCCGCGGTTCACTTGGTCTCTATCTGGTTCAAGATTCGTGCCAGGTGTGTGACTTGTCCTCACAGAACCAGGTCACAGGCTGGAGCTGGTGGCTCAATGCTAGGGCACATGTGTGAGTTTTGGGTTTGATCCCCAAACCACAAATAAAACACGTCACAAAGGACCTGGCCCAGGGCCTCTTAGAGATCCAGGGAGCCGGAGACATTTCTAGTTTTTGAGGTTCTAGTTTGTTCATTTATTTATGGGTTTTGGGTCACACCCAGCGATGCTTAGGGATTACTCCTGGCTCTACACTCAGGAATCACTCCTGGCAGTGCTTAAGGGACCATATGGGATGTCAGGGATCAAACCCAGGTCAGCTGTGTGCAAGGAAAGCCGCCTACTACTGAACTATCACTCCATCCCTTCATTTTCTATTAATTTATTTATTTATTTATTTATTGCTTTTTGAATCACACCAGCAATGCTCAGGAGTTACTCCTAGCTCTGGACTCAGGAATTACTCCTGGCGGTGCTCAGGGAACTCTATGGGATGCCAGAGATCATACCCAGGTCTTGCAAAGCAAACATCCTACCTGCTGTACTATTGCTCCAACCCCTTCTTTTATATTTTATAGTTTAAAAATACTGGGCTAAGGAGCTAGAGAGATAATACAGTGACTAGGCTGCCAACCAGGGTTCAATTCCTGGCATCCCATATGGTCCCCTGAGCCCTGCCAGGAGGGATCCCTGAATGCAGAATCAGGAGTAACCCCTGAGCATCCCTAGGTATGACCAAAATAATAATAATAATAATAGTAGTAGTAATAATAAGTGCTTCACTAAAGGCTCTGGACATTTAACAAGTATCTGCCATGAGCTGGTAACAGTGCTAAGTTTATGAGCACTGGTCCAAAATATCCTTGAGAGTGAGATCCTGAGGCCAACGTTTGTTGTTTATTTTTATTTGGGGGCCACACCCAGTGGTGTTCAGGGCTCACTCCTGGCTGCTGCACTCAGGAGTCACCCCGCGTAGAGCTCGTGGGAAGCCAGAGATGGAGCTGTGTGCAAGGCAAACACTCCACGTGTTGTACTGATGCTCTGGCCCCTCTAGGGCCCATTTCCTAGATGGGAAAGTAGAGTCTATCAGCTGACAGAATGAACAATGTGACTTAGTCAGAGGCTGTGCTCTCCTTGTTTTACTGCTAAAATGCTGGTCTGGGGACTGGAGAGATAGCACAGCGGGTAGGGTTGCACACTGCTGACCCGGGTTCGAGTCCCAGCATCCCATATGGTCCCCGAGCACTGCCAGGAGTAATTCCTGAGTGTATGAGCCAGGAGTAACCCCTGAGCATCGCCGGGTATGACCGAAAAGCAAAAAAAAAAAAAAAATGCTGGTCTGCTAATACCAAAATGAACATGGCATCAATGCCCTATCGCGCCCAGTCCTGTGAGAGGACTGACTGCTTAGGGGTTTTTTGGGTGTGTGTGTGAGAGTGTTTCACCCAGTGATTCTGGGGGCTCCACCCTGGCTAACATGGGTGGAGCACTCCTGCCTGAGGACCAAGCAGTGCCAGGGACCCAAGAGGAATTCCATTGGCAACGCCTGTCCTCCAGTCCTTTGAATTAATTTTTTTCTTCCTCATTTTTTTGAATTTTTTTTTGGCTTTTTGGGTCACACCAGGCGATGCTCAGGGGTTACTCCTGGCTCTGCACTCAGGAATTACTCCTGGCAGTGCTTGGGGGACCATAAGGGATGCTGGGAATCGAACCCGGGTTGGCCGCGTGCAAGGCAAACGCTCTACCCGCTGTGCTATCACTCCAGCCCCTTGAATTAACTTTTTAAAAGTAAAGTAAAGTAAAGGCCCTCCCGTTGATCATCGATTTGCTCGAGCGGGCCCAGTAACGTCTCCATTGGAGACTTTGTTGTTACTGTGTCTGGCATATCGAATACTCTCGGTAGCTTGCCTGGCTCTCCCAGAGGGGCGGAGGAATCGAACTCCGGTCGGCCATGTTGGCTGCGTGCAAGGCAGACGCCCTACCCGGAAAAAAATTAAATAGACGTTGCATGTGGGGGACCCAAGCTCCAGCCCCAGCATCCTATATGATCCTGGAGCACTGCCAGGAGTGATCCCTGAGTACAGAGCCAGGAGTAACCCCTGAGCATCTCCAGGCCAAAACCAAAAGGAGTTTAATATAGTGCCTGGCACCTCATTTGCACTCCTTATTTACTCAATAAAAAAAAAAGTGGGGCCCCAGAGGGATAGTACAGTGGGAACAGGGCATGCCCTGCACAAGGCCAACCTGGGTTCGATCCCCAGTCCTTCAGGTGTGAGCCCTGAGTGCAGACCCAGGAGAAAGCCCGGAGAGAGCACTGCCGGTGTGCCCCCGCACACCCTCCCCCCCACCAGCCCCACCCCTGCCAAACTAACTTCAGGCCCTGGGATTCATGAAATCCCCAGGGTCCAGCGCCCAAGAGGCATTCTCTGCGGGCCTCTGCCCCAGCTCTCCCAAGCGCTGCGGAGGAGGGGTTAAGGCGATAATGATTTCCCAAGCAGCTGCAGAAAATACACACGTACACACATGCACGCACACTCACACACGCGCGCGTGCAGACACGCGCACACGCACACGCACACACGCACACACGCGCGCGCGCACAGCCTCCCGGAGCCCCCTCCCCGCGGCCTCTGCCCCCTCCTCCCTCTGCGGGGCCCGGAGCCTCTTATGCAAGCCGCCGGCGCCCGCCGGTTCCCAGGCCGGGCTGCAGCTGCGGGCGGAGGGGCAGGGCGGGGGCGGCGCTGTTTGTCTAGCGCGGCCGTGCCAAAGGCGGCGGGCCCCAGACAGCCAGGCGCCTCCATACACCTGGGGATGCTCAGGTTAAATAGCTCCGCATTCCTCGGGCCCAGCTGATGGAAACGCTCCCAGGCCGCCGCCGAGCCGGCCTCCAGATGGGCTGGGCTCGGGCCAAAGGGGAAAAAGAGGGAAACGTGGAATCCAGAGTGTGGCTGGATGGAGGGGGAGGTGACCCCGGCCCCCGCCGCAGCCCCCATTTCCCCCCTGGCAAAGGGCCCTGCGGGTAGGAGCCCACTCGAGGGACACTCCCCCGCGCCCCCGTGGGTGGGCTTGCCGGCGGAGGAGGGGTGGGGGGCCCACACAGGGGAGGCTGTGGGCGCCCACTTGTGTTCTGAGAACAGCCCAAGGTCATACGGGCCACAAGCGATGAGGATCATTTCTCTCGGGCCCTTAGGTGCTAAGTGTCAGTTTCATTCCGCAGCGGGCGGGCGGGCGGGCGGGGTGGGGAGCAGCGAAGGACCTAATTTACCTTAGAACATGTTCTTTTGGTAAAGTTTGCAAAGGGCTCGGGAAGGCATGGTCCCGGTTCAGACTCAACAGATGATAATCTTCAATGTGGTGGGTCTCTGGCTCTGATTCTTCCGTTGCAAGCCTGGGGGTCAGGATCCACACCTCCCCCGCAAGCATATGCATCCCCCCCCACCCCCAGATCCATGAAATCCTTTCTGTTAGGCTGATGGTGTTGCAGTGATTGACAAAATGCATTAATGCTCCTTATCCTCACTGGGCCTTCTCTCGGACTTGGCTTGTCCTTGTATAAAACTTGAGCGCTCACTGGGTAGAGATAATTAATGAGGCTTGGTGTGCTCGGGGCTTGAGACAATTGCCCAAAGGGTTGGTATTAAACACGGTAGAAGGGTTTGTTTGAACACAGCTGCCCCGCCTCCACCCTAGCTAGACCACCGAGGAATGCTCACACATCTCCAGAACAATCACACTTGGAACAAACCCAGTGTGGTCCTGCAGTTCCCAGGTACCCAACCATCCCATCAAGCCAGACCCCTGCAGATGCCCCCCATACAGTTAGAACATATAAGCCCAATGGGCTGGAGACTACACTTACTTGCTCAAACACCGGACTACCAATTGCTCTAGGGCTTACACCCCCATACCATCACCATCACCCCCCCCCTTGTACATGAACAGATGACCCAGCCCCACTGGGGAGCGAGTGGGGGGGGGGGGGACACAACCAGTTCATTCATGTCACACACGCAGGCCCAGACACCCATCTGCACTCCCCCGTGAGGACAAACTCACGGTACGTGTCCAGGCAGATAGGGCCTTGCCAGGGACACCTTTTTCCTGCTCCAGTTAGGGACTGCTTCACCCACTCCTGAGAGCCCACACAGGAGCCCTGCGGGAGAGGCTAGTGTGAGTTGCTGGCACTGCCAGGCCAGGATGAGGGGGCTGAATCCGGACCCGGAGCAGGTGGCCCAGCAGCTGTGCCCAGGCTGGCCCTGCCAACATGCTCACCCACTTGGAGAAGATGGGCGCCTCGGGGCAGCCTGCTGGGATCCAAGCTTGGGCGGCCCAGCAGACACTTCCCTCCTCCTGGGAAATGGGGCAACTTTGGTTCAGCTCAGGATACGGCCAGTGCCAGTTCTCTCTCTGGGAGTCTCACCTAATACATATGCAGCAGGCTGCAAACTCTCCACCCGCAGGGGGCCGCAGCAGGTTAATCTACATCTTAACAACTTCCCCAGGTGACCCACTAGGCCCAAAGACCACCTTGACAAACACTAGGGGCTGGGAGGATGAATTTTATGGCTCCGGGAAGCAGGGAAATGGCCAGGGCTGGGTTTAAAAGAATAGATTTTAAAAGACACCGGAAACACTCATTTCAGGTCTTGTGAAAGAGACAGTCCAGATGTGGCCCTTTGGAACACCCCCACCTCCCCAGCCCAGACCCTTCCCCTCCATCCAATAAAGCCACTGCAACTTGACAACTGTTCTAAAATATTTGTTTAATAACAACAACAAAAAACAACAGCAAAAAAAACCCCACCGAACTATTGTAAAACAATATTCTCAGTTGGTGATCATTGTAATATACAATACAAAGCAATTAATTTCCTCAGAAATCTGAGAAGCACCAAACGTGACCATTTTTTAAAATGTCTGCTTTTCAAAAAATAGAAACACACGGGGTTGGGGAGGTGGGGGGCCGCGGGTTCTGCCCGCCTGCCCCCTTCCCCGTTCCCATCAAGTCTCTGGTAACTGGAGATGTGGACGGAGGGAGGGTCGCCTGCCCGGTTAATCCCCCGACCCTGGGCTGGATCCAGCAAGCGGCCGCCCGAGGAGGGGGGGGGTCCTCCGATCTCCGCCTTGCTCCTCCCCGAGTCCAGCGAGGAGCACCCATTCCTCTGGCCCGCGGAGGGCTGGGGTCCCGCAGCGCGAGCGCGGCGCTTCAGCGACACAAGATGCGGTCGTCGGCGGGAACGCAAGCCGCCTGCGGAAAGGAAACAGGTTACAGGTGAGTCGGGAGCGTGGCAACCGGACACGGCCGCGACAAGGCGCCCAAGTCCCCCACCCACCCCCTTCTGCAGACGGCTCAGGCGCAGGCTGTTTGCAGACCTCTGGGGCACCCTGGCATGGCCAAGGGCAGGGGCGCCCGGAGGGATGGGCGGGCGGAGACAGGACAAGTCCCCCCCCCCCCACACCCTCCTCCAAGCCCCCGCCGCCCCACCCACCCCGGGGCCTCAGTTTCTCCAGCTGGAGCCGGGAAAGGGTCTCTCGTGCGCCGCCCGCTCGGATCTCACCTCGGCGGCCAGGGCGCTGATCTCGCCGTTGAGGGTGCTGAGCGGGGCTCGGGCGGGCAGCCCCCGGCTCCCGGGGCTGCCGCCGTGCGCTTCGGACCTCAGCTCGGACTCCAGGTCCCAGATGTAGTCGATGACGTGCTGCAGGATCTCCACGCGGCTCACCTTGCGGTTCTGGGGCAGGGTGGGCACCAGCTCCTTGAGGCGCGAGTAGCAGCCGTTCATGTCGTAGAGCAGCACGTTGACCTGCGGCTCGTCCAGCAGGGCGGGCAGGCGCGCCCCGGAGCCGCCGGCGCAGCGCGAGATGGCCACGCTCTGCTCGGACAGGCAGCGCACCACCTCGCCCGCGCCGCCCGCCGCCTTGCCCGCCTTGAGCGCGCAGCTGGGGCCCGCGGCGGCCGCGGCGCTGCCACTGGCGACCTTCATGGTTTTCGGCGTCAGCGTGGAGGAGAGACGGGACGGACGAGTGACCGTGAGCGCGGCGGACTCGCGGCGGGCGAAGAGAGATCCCGACGGCTCGCAACGCGCTTGGAGCAAGACGCCGGGAGTCCCGCGGCCCGGTTTTTATAAAGACGCCGCGGCCCCCTGGGGGGCGGGGCCGGCCGTTCAAAAGCAGCCAATGGGAGGCCTGGGGGTGTGGCCCCGGGCGCCGCGGCCCCGCCCCCTGCTCTACTCGTGCACCCGGGCGGGCGTGGAAAGGGCTCTCGGGAGCCGAGAAAGTGGGAGGGCGCTGGCCAGGGTGACCGAGTGGAGGCCAGGGCTTGCCTTGGGGAGAAAGCAAGGAGGCTAAGCCGGCATTGCTGATCACGAAAAGGCTTCAAGGGTCACTTAGCCCAGGTTCATTTTCTTTGTCCCGTTGAACAGGTGGGAGAAACTGAGGCCGGACGGAGAAGCGGCTGGCTCTGCGCTTACGGCCCAGAACTAAAAGCTTGATCTTCTGGGTTCTTTGGGGAGATTACCTATGAGAACTTGATATGAGTATTTGAAATGTAAAGAGAGCTTTCCTTTTTTAGCACTGTTCCTGTGGGCTGGCCTCCCTGTCCCAATTCCGGGAGAATATTGCAGATTAAAGGTCCTGGGACCAAGGGGAGTTTACCCAGGCGCCTCGGGGTGGAAGCAATTAATTCGGGAAGTCTTCCTCTAGTCTAAGGAGTTGGACCTTTGAATAAGGCGCCCAGAGCGGGGCTGTATATTCTGATTCTATGCAGAATTGGCAGCGCCCTGCAAACCTCTCTCCCACCCCCATCTGCATCAACTCGTGATTTTAAAGTTTTCTCCCTTTTTTGGCCTTTCCCTAGGCGTCCTTCCCCCCCCCCGTCCCCCCCCCCCCCCCGCAAAGACCTCGGATCAGGGTCTCCCTCCCACGGCGCTGCAGCTGCGGAGCTCGAGCCTCCCCCTCCTTCTTCCCGGGCGGGTCTGTGTCAGCGTCTGAACAAGCGGCTCAGACCGTTAGACGCCAGGCCCGTGACGTCACCCATTCATAAAAACCGGGGCTGGCTGTCAGGCTGGCGCCGCGCGGGCGGTCGCCATGGAGACGGCAAACGGGGCTGGCGCGCTTCCCCGCTCCCCCCCGCCCCGCCGGTCACCTGCGGACCTCCGGCGGGAGGCCTGGGAATGCGCTCCTCGCAGGCGCGGTCGCTGGGCAAGGGTCACTTTACCTCCCCGCCCCGCACCTGGGAATCTCCCTCCCCCCAGCCCCCCGGCCCACAGCTTGGGGCCGCTTGGGAGGTTTCTCCGTCGCACCCCCCCAGCCCACCCCACCCCCGCAACCCCCACGTCCCTCCTCCCTCCCACCTGGGGAAAGAGGCCCGAGTTTCGACGCAACTAAGCTGCTGGGTGAATTTAGTCAATCGCCGCCCGTCTCTGAGCCTTAGCGGGCTTGCCTGATATTTCCGATACTGCTTAAAAAAAAATATATATATATATATATATATATATATTATACGCAGGGACGTATTGCCTTCTTTGCATCAGGCTCTGAAGAGTTAGTCTTGACCATCTTCCCGAATAGTCTAAAGAAAGCAGTTGTTGGGTTTCCTTAAACAAAGGAGGAAATAGGCTCAAAAATCCTCTGAAGAGTCCTAGTAATGGCTGTATTATTCTAACAAGGGCATTTGATGGTAAGTGGGTCCCTTCTGACTGACGGCAGGAGTGGGGGTCTTGCCTAGAGAGGCAAGAGACTGGGGCACAGACTTAAGAATTAGCCCATAGGCCTGATAGCACAGGGATTAAGGTGATTACCTTGCACAAAGTCACCCCCAGTCAGATCCTGGCGCAGCAAAAGTTTCCCTAAGCACAGAGCCAGGAATAAGACATGGGCACCACTGGGTGTTGCCCCCCTCCCCAAAAAAAAGTCACCAAGGCCACACATCCTTAGCAGGGCCAAAACTCTGGGTTCACATAGAAAAAGGTGATGTTATGCACCCTCCTCCCCCAGTAATTCATTCCCTGGTGGCAGCAGATTTTCCTTTCCCACAGAACCGGGGAGGAGGGGACAGAAAGCCTGGCGGCACATTAGGGAAGCAGGAAAACCCATCAGTGAGACCAGCTTTAAAGGAGACCCATCAATTAATAAACTTGACTCAGTGAGTGGCCAGTATCCCATCCCCCAAATTCTCCCTATTTCCCTTATTCAGCAGCGCTCATTGAAGAGAGTATTTAACTGGACAGAAGAATTGCTAAAGAGTTGGAGAAAAAATAACCAACCAGAGGACTATTAATTTATTAGCAAATTTTATTAATCCAACAATATTATTTGTTGAAATCAATTCCAGAGAAACACACAGGTGCACAAAGATTTTGGCTCAGGGTTGGAGCAAAAGTATAGCATGTAGGGTGCTTGTCATGCATGCAACAGACCTGGGTTTGATCCCTGACACCACACGTGGTCTCCTGATCCCTGCTAGGAGTGAACCCTGAGTACAGAGCCAGAAGTAAGCTCTGAGTACCACTGGGTGTGGCTCAAAAACCAAAACCAATACTAAAGACAAGAGATGTTGGCTCAGAGATATTCCTTTTTTTTTTTTTCTGCTTTTTGGGTCACACCTGGCGATGCACAAGGCTTACTCCTGGCTCTGCACTCAGGAATTACTCCTGGCAGTGCTCAGGGAACCATATGGGATACTGGGAATCGAACCCAGGTCAGCCGCGTGCAAGGCAAATGCCCTACCCGCTGTGCTATTGCTCCGGCCCCCAGAGATATTCCTTGAGGTATACATACACAAGAGGGAAAGTTAGTCATCTAAATATCTATAAACAGCAGTATTATATAAACTGTAAGGGAGATAGCACTCTGTGGATCCATCAGGTAGAAGGGAGAGCTTAAGAGAGCCAAATATTGCTTTTAGTGGAGAAAAAAAAGTTAGTTTGGAAATCTAGGTTAGGACCAACTTTTTCCAAGTTAAGAAGCAAACCTGGAGTGAAATGGCTCGGCTCATAGGGTTGAGTTCATTCTCTGCATGTGGGAGGCCCAGCTCCACCCCCAATGCCACATTTTTTTTTTTGCGGGGGGGGGGGGGGTGGAGGTGAGGGTTTACTCCTGGCTTTGAGTTTAGGGATTATTCCTGGTGAACTCAGAGAACCATATGGGCTGCCAGGGATTGAACCTGGGTTGGCCACATGCAAGATAAGAAAGAGCCCTACTTGGTGTGCTATTGCTCCAGCCCCTAGGTAGGACCTTTCCTCTGTGAAAAAGCAAAACTGGGCCAGAGCTACAGCCCAAAGGGCTAAGAGTATGCACTGCAGGTGGGGGGGCTCAGGTCCCTCTTCGACACCACATTTTCACCCCACTCCCTGGAGAGACTAGAAATGACCCCAGACCACTAAGATGAAGGTGGTCCCTCAACTCCATAGGACATGGCCCTTAAACAAAACAAAACAAATCATCCTACTGCTTGAGTCCAAATGTTCCTGGAAACAAATCTCAAGTGAGAAGAATTAATGCTCTAAAAAATTTCAAGGGGGGCTGGAGCGATAGCACAGCGGGTAGGGCATTTGCCTTGCACACGGCCGACCCAAGTTCGATTCCCAGTATCCCATATGGTCTCCTGAGCACCGTCAGGAGTAATTCCTGAGTGCAGAGCCAGGAGTAACCCCTGTGCATTGCCAAGTGTGACCCAAAAAGCAAAATAAATAAATAAATAAAAATTTAAAAAAAAATTTCAAGGACTGGAGAGAGAGCACAGTGGGTAAAACACTTGCCTTGCACGCAGCCAACCCAAGTTTGACCCCTAGCACCACATGGTCCCGTGAACCACCACCATGAATGATCCCTGAGCACAGAACTAGGAGTAACCACTGCGTACTGCTAGTGTGTTCCCTCTAAAAAAGGGAGGGAAATTCCAACACACAGAGCTGAAGAAATAGAATGGAGGTTAAAGCAGCCGCCTTGGACATGGTTGTGACTGGGGCAGTGGTTGGAATCCTGGCACTGCGTATGGTCCACGGAACACTGCCAGGTGTGACCCTGTGCACCACTGCATGTGGCGCCTCCCCAGATTTTTTTGTTTTTCAGACACAATATTGTGTAACTTTTTACATCAAGTTCCAGAGAAGGCACAACTAATTTCTGGTAAAAGAATCATAATGATGGTTATCTCTGGGAATGGAGGGGAAAGGTATGAGGAACCTTTCTGGAGTGATAAAAATGTTTTCTATCATGATGAGATATGGGTTATGCATTTACAAATGAATAATAAATAAAACAATGAAGACATTACTGGGCCCGCTGGAGCAAATCAATGAACAATGGGAGGACAGGGACAGGGAAAACAAAGTAAAAATTTTTTTTTTTTTTTTTGCTTTTTGGGTCACACCTGGCAATGCACAGGGGCTACTCCTGGCTCTGCACTCAGGACTTACTCCTGGCGGTGCTCAGGGGACCATATGGGATGCTGGGAATGGAACCTGGGTCGGCCGCGTGCAAGGCAAACGCCCTACCCGCTGTGCTATCTCTCCAGCTCATAAAAATTTTTTTTAAACTACAAAATATAATTAATTTTGTGGGACGAGAGAAATAGCACAGGGATTAAAGTGTCTTACATAAGGCCTACCCTGGTTTGATCTCTGACACCACATATGGTCCTCTGAGCATTGTCAGGAATGATCCCTGAGCACCAATCCAGCACTAAGTCCTGAGCACTACTGGGTGTAGCCCCATATTTAGAAAACAAACAAGGGGCTGGAGCGATAGCACAGCAGGTAGGGTGTTTGCTTTGCATGCAGCTGACCCGGGTTCGGGTTCGATTCCCAGCATCCCATATGGTCCCCTGAGCACCGCCAGGGGTAATTCCTGAGTGCATGAGCCAGGAGTAACCCCTGTACATTGCTGGGTGTGACCCAAAAAGCAAAAAAAAAAAAAAGAAAGAAAACAAACAAACAAAACCCAACAAAGAATGATCTTTTTAGAAAATAGATTTAGAGGACCGGAGCCATAGTACAGCATGTAGGGTGTTTGCCTTGCACACGGCTGATCCAGGTTGGATCCCCTGCGTTCCATATTA